TTCCTTCCTTCCTTCCTTCCTTCCTTCCTTCCTTCCTTCCTTCCTTCTTTCTTTCTTTCTTTCTTTCCTTTCTTTCCTTCTCTCTTTCTCTTTCTTTCTTTCGACTGGGTTTTACCATGTCAGCCAGACAGGTCTCTAACTCCTGACCTCAAGTGATCTGCTCTCCTCGGCCTCCCAAAGTGCTGGGATTACAGGTGTGATCCCGGCTGAAAAATCACCTTCTATCAGATCTTTATGTCATAGCTTGATTGTCAAATGATATAAAGATAAACCACAAATTAATTTCCTCAACAGGCAATAGCACTTAAAAATTCATAACTCAGAATTCTGTTCATAGTTTATGGTAAAGGACAATACATTTAAATGGCTTTCCTAAGAACTTGGGTTTCAATGATAGGAAATATCAGTTAAGTTGGGGTTCTTTTCCCACTAGGTAATATGAGACAAGCATATATGTTTTTATTTATTATTTACACTAACGTTTTGAATGAAGGCAGAACATTTGCTTAACTAAACCCAAGAGTTGCCTTCATAAAATAAATGTAAAGAAAGTCTTAGCCTTAGGAATTTTCTAATAATGCTATCTGGAATTAGTAATACAGAGGAAACACACAAGGAAAGGTATATTTGCTCTGGCTTAGTTTGGTTCCTGTGATCAAGCCTGCATTCTCTGCTAGTTGTTATTTGCTTTCTGTCCCAATGCCCAAGTGATGTGCCTGTTTCTCTGGGGAAGAGCCAAGAGGTTCTTTTGAATGAAAGATCCAAATAAACACAAGAACAATCTATGGAATGTTCTTTTCTCGTAACCAGGAAAGCACTACGGGGTGTACAGTTGTGAAGGCTGCAAAGGGTTCTTCAAGAGGACGATAAGGAAGGACCTCATCTACACATGTCGGGATAATAAAGATTGCCTGATTGACAAGCGTCAGCGCAACCGCTGCCAGTACTGTCGCTATCAGAAGTGCCTTGTCATGGGCATGAAGAGGGAAGGTGAGACACGTTCAATTCCAATACATGTGTCTGGACAGAGGCATTACCTAGGGCAAGGGGACATGCAGCTGCAAAACACGAGAAGTCATGGTGCCCAAAGTCATCCTAATCTCCAACCACTTCAAATTTCTTCCCCACAGGGCTCTAAAGAGAAGTCTGAATTGGAGGTTAGGATGACTTTGGGAACCATGACTTCTCGTGTATTTCAATGTACCCTTGTCCTAGGAAATGTACCCTCTCCAGAGCAAAGAGGGCAAGAGGCATCTTTCTCCTCCACATTTACCCATCCTCTCCTGGAGCCCAGATGGTGATCCCCAAACTGGACCTTCTCCGTTTTTCTTCCAGTAGCCAGGCAGCAAGTCTTAGAGCCAAGGTTTCAGGGTCTTTATGCTCTGCTCTACCAATGGATTGTCAGACTGACCTTCAGGGTGGAGGTGACTTTTCTCCTCTAATCCTAGGTCTCTCTCTGGGGAAAACTGCAGGCTTGATTTCACTCACTGAGCTTTTATACCTTAGTCTGCTTTAAATTCTTTGGCGTTGGTATATTCCATCATCTTTTGCATTGCTGGCATTACACAGGTCTGACATACCTAGCCTTCCCATTCAGAGAGACTACTGCTGTGTGTTGAAACTGTTACATCTTTTAATTTATACTGTGGTTTAGCTGGGTATTCTAGTATCAGAGAAAAAACCTCTGAAGGTGCTTTCTGTTCCTTCAGAAGATGGAAAAGTCTTTCCATTAAGTAACACAAATAAATTGAAGTGGGCAGTTAATTAACTAGCCAGCTCAAGCAGGGACATGGGGCTAGTGGTGAATCTTAATAGATTTTAGAGTAAGAAGGCCCTGCCTTTCTTTAGGGAATAAGAACAAGGAGTTCAGTGAGACCCAGCAGGCTCCTCATTGTTGAGGAACTTCTTTTCTGTGAGAAGATGACATCTGACTGACAGGGTCAATGAAGAGGGGCTCTTTGTGTCCCTGCTAACAGGGAATGTCACTCATGAGAAAACAAAATCTTGGAATCTTAACATGTCGAGATGCTAGAGGTGGCCTTACAGAGTCACCTGATCAACTGTTACCATCCTCCACATGAGGAAACAGGTTCAGAGAGGTAGGTGAAGGGAGTTTTCTGAGGTACCAAAGGCGGGCAACGAATTGACCCCAGGTCTCTGACTCCCAGATTGGCACTGATCTGTGTCTCCTTCCTGCCAGGCTGTGAAGGAACTGAGGACAGCCCTCACTGTGACATTGAAGAGCAACCTCAAAAGCAAGAGACCCAAACCTTAGCTCCTGATAATCTGCCCCACACCCCAACCTGTTCCTCACGCAGTCTTCCCCTTTCAGGAAATGACCACTTATTTTCCAGTTGCTCAGAACAAAAACCATTGACTCCCCTCTTTTTTCTTTTATTTTCTTTTTTTTTTTTTTTTTCTGGAGATGGACTCTTGCTGTATCACCAGGCTGGAGTGCAGTGGCGCGATCTTGGCAACCTGCACACCCACCCCACCCCCTCCGCCTCCTGATTTCAAGCGATTCTCCTGCCTCAGCCTCCAAGTATCTGGGATTACAGGCATGTGCCACCACTCTTAGCTATTTTTTATAATTTTAGTGGAGATGAGGTTTCACCATGTTGGCCAGGATGGTCTCGATCTCCTGACCTCGTGATCCACCCACCTTGGCCTCGTGATCCACCAGCACTCCCAAAGTGCTGGAATTGTAGGCGTGAGCCACCGTACCTGGCCGACTCCCCTCCTTCTTCACACATCACATGCAGTGGGTGAGGACACTTTGTCTCTTCCTCAAAATATGCCCAGAATCTTTCCATGTTTCACTATTTTTACCACTACCCCCCAATCCAAGCCACTGTCTTCTGTAGTGATCTACATAGCATCCTAAGACATCTCCCTGCTTTTATCTTTGTCCTTCTACAGTCTCTTCTTAGCACAGTAGACAAAAGGAGGTTTTGAACAAGTAGACTGGGTCAAGGTACTCCTTTGCCAAAATGCTCCAATGTCTTTCCTTATCACCCAGAAAAAAAGGCAAAAATCTTTGTTATGACTTAAGGTTGTACATGGTCTGGATGCCCTGTTATCTCTCAGCCTTAACCTTCCTGGCCTCTTTGCTGGTCCTCAACTATACCAGGGATGTGCCCACCTCAGGGCCTTTGCACTTGCCGTCTGTCTAGAATGGCTTCTTTTCAGGTGTCTGCGTGGTTCACTTCTCATCCTTTGGATCTTGACTCAATTCTCACTTTCTTGGTAAAGGTTTGCCTGGCTATACTGTCTAAAATTGTGCCAGGCGCCTGCAACCCTTCCTTGTCTCTTTTGCACAGCACTTATCACTATCTAACGCTTGTATTTATCTTGTTTACTCTCCGTATCCCTGAAAGCAGGGGCTTTGCCTGCTTTTCCTCCCACTGCTTTATCGCCAGTGACTAATACATTGTAGCCATTTAATAAATTGTTGAATGAATAGTTTAAACTGAATGCTAAAATTGGAAGTTTTAGAAATGTAGGAGCTCCTAAAAATGACTCATTCATTTATTCACTGAGTATTAGCTGAGTGCCTACTCTGTGCTTATGTCATACCTGCTGTGGCAGTGGGATCGATGATGTTACAGATTGGAACATATGATATAAAATACCTGCTGATGAAGACCACCTTTTTTTCACTAGGATGGAATTGATACTCCCTGGAGCTTCCCTCACCGTGATTATCAGGACGAAACTAATAACTACAAGGGTTTCTCCCATTAACAAGAGTCCAGTGGCTGCAGGGTCATTCTTTTCCTCCTAAAACACTTGAGATAAGTTTCCAGTTGACTTGGAAAAATAACAGTTTTCATTAAGCTCATGATATTGAATTAAAAGAAAGTGAATGGCCTCAGCCAGAGAAACCATCATTTCTATTTCTCTAGAGTTAGTCTTATCCATCTCTCAAAACTCAGGCTGAATATCCCCAGCTCAGTTAGGAACAGAGTAGTTGATAGGCCAAATGTTGGGAAGTGTGATTCTTTATTTATTTATTTATTTTATAAAAAGGAAGGAAAAGAGGGACATGTGAACTGTAAGAAACTAGACAGTTCTTGTAAATCTAGCATGGTTTGTGTACTTTAATAGAAAATTGGACCCAGTTTTTGCTCCTGCATTTTTTTTTAAAAAGAATGTGGAGAAACAGAAAGAATAATGAAAAGCAGAGTAGTAAAAATTAGGAGGGGGGAAGGAGCTCTTAGGGAACTTTCTAAAGAGATCAGTACCATTTACCCTGACAAAGAGAAGGTAAAGAAGTGAATCAATTCCTCCTCTCGCTATATAAGAGGCCACATTCAAAAGGCTACTGGATAGCCTGTCCTTCACCACCATCATTTCTGGTATTGATTTATAGAATTTGGGGCTCAGTTTGCACTCTTTCTTGAGGACAATAATAATAACATCCTGCAACAGATAACAGAAAGATAATGGAAATCACACAGATAAAGAGATGGAACTGGGGTAGGCACAGAATTTACCTGCCTGGGGACCAGGGGCCAGGACCTGTTACCCTTTTAGGATACATAATGTTAAAGTTAGAGCGGACATTTTCTATTCTCAAAGGTAACACATCCATTTCCTGAAAGAAGAATCAGAGGTTCAGAGAGCCTAGGGACGTGCACCAGCTCACACAGCAAGCAAATGGCAGACCTGGTATAGGACTGGGACCCTCTGATTCTTGGGCCACCTTGGGAATTCTGGAATGTCTATTTCCATAATTTCTGGTCATATGCATGTAGTTTCCAGACTGGAGATTGGATTACTTTAAGGCTGTTCCTGGGCAGCATTGGTGAGCCCTGTGTGGTCTTTATCAATAGAACTAGTCCAGTACCTTGGAGCAGCACTGGGAGGTTACAGATGGGCCCAGGAGGAGCCGTTGTAGGTGCTTGTGCTGGCTCCACCGTAGCCTACCATATGCCCTCAGATATGTCACTAGTTTCTCTATGGCTCATATTATGTCAGAGGGTTATCGTGAGAATTAAATAAAATATAATCTGTCTAAAATGTTGGGCATAATTCCTGACATAGAGAAAGAGCTTCTTAAATGTTGGCTATTGTAGTAAGTACAGAATAATCACATGTTGGATGAATGGTTAAAATCCTTTCCTAAGGCAGGAGTTTGGGACTATTTTTGATCATCCAGGGTTCCCTGGATGCACCATGTTGTGTGTTGTAACAGTAGCTTAGAATGTCTGACACGTAGAAGCTACCCACCAGTAACAATATATGACTCCTCATTTACGACAGGAAGATTTAAGCACAAAGAGTAAAAGTGAACAGCAAAGGGTTTGCTCAATTAATGGCAAAACTGGAATTAGAATCTAATTCCATGACACCAAGGTTATTTTCTTTGAAGCTTGAAGGTTATTTTCCTTGAGTGTTACAAGTCTGTAGAAGAAAAGATTGAGGACCACGAATGAAACTTAACTTAGTTTGCTTTCCCTCATCTTTTAAAGTCAAAACAAATAGAAGCTCATAACCTACCTTTAAAAAATTAATATAAGAAGCATTCACGTTTCCCAGTAAATCCAACTATAATAAAAAATACATATTATGACAGTCTACATGTTGTCAGTGAATGAAGGCTGATAGAGTGAGCAGAAAGTAAGGATGAGACAGAAAGAGGAAGAACCACAGGAGAGAGGAAGAGGCCAAAGAGGGAGATGGAGAGATGAGGCAAGGGGCTAAAAAGACATAAAGGGAAAGAGAAAATAATTGTTTATATTGAGTTTTTTGTAATTGCTTCATTCACCCCTACAGTATTATCTCAGTTAGGTATTGAAGAGTACCAACCTTAGTACCAGCCTTAACTATCTCAGTTAATCCCTGGTTCACAGATAAGGGAACTAGGGCTTACTCGGCTCAGTCATACGTCCAGTGTCATTTAGCAGGGAAGGGGTAGAGTTATACAGGTATTGATCGACTTACCACCTATGCAACTTACGACCATTCAACTTTATGACCACAATCGCTAGCCATGACTGCTCCGCGTCTGGCAGCGCAAACGCTGCCCAGCTGGGCGTACGACAGTGCGGACCAGCTTCCGGCAGCACTACCATCTCCGCGTGCACCATTTCAACTGTACATATAGCCTACTCAACTTACGACCAAATCGTGTTATGACCGGTCTGCGGTCCCGACCGTGGTCATAAGTCGAGCACTAGCTGTATGTGGAAAAGCTTTCTTTGACTCCAACGTACATGTTTTTTGCTCCTATTTTCCCTTTCTTCTCCTTGCTGTTCTCTCTCCTTTCTGTTTCCACTTCCCCTTGTTCCTTTTCTCCTTTCTACCCTCCCGGCCTCTCTCTCAGTCACACAGTACCATTTGCGTCTTGAAGCTTTTTGGCGTGTCTCCACTAAGCTTTGGAGTCTAAGTTGTGTTTTTGCAGTCATACCCTTCTCTGACCTACCTCGAAAGACAGATACGGCTCGCATGACAAACTAGATGTTCGGCATTGCGGTTCCAGTCCATTCTGCAGCCTCTGTGGCTCGTTATCTCCTGAGAGAGTAGGAGGCACTCTTGCAAGTGGACTACGGGGAGGAAGGGAGAGAGATCAGAAATTGGAGCTGCTAGTGGAGTAGCTGTCACTGAGTTTCAGGCTAGTCACCTGCTTAAAGGATAATTTTCTTGACTCTTGGGATGTAAAAAATGTGTTCTAATGTTGAATTCTGTTTATTGCTGTTGTGACTAAGATGGAAACTACAGCCTTCTAGATGATGGAAACTAACTTAACAGAGACTTTTCTCCTGATGAAGGGCGTAGAATTGGAGGGGGCAGGGGTCTGTTTTCAACCTAATGTATAGACATGGAGGCTTCTGAGAGTTGGGCTGAACCTTGATGAAAACCCTGAGCTTTGGAGAGGCTGAGATAATTCCAACCTACACCTTTGCCTATGTACCCTCCCCCACCTCCAAAATCAGCCACAGATTCTGAAATGTCATCTAGGTGACATCCCTCCACCCCTTCACTTACTAAATACCCACAGCTGGCTCCCTGAAGATCTTCCCTGACAAGTCAGATCAGGTGATGTTGTGTTCAAGCTGGTGCACTAGGGGCAGACCTAATGGGACGTGAATGCCAAGGATGATGCATAGGATCTGACAGAGGGAGTTTTTAAAGTAATGTGCTTGCTACTTAACTCTTTCATGCTCACAGTTTTTTAGAGGCAGCAGGTAGAGGAAGAATGTGGGGATCTGCAGGGATAGCAGGGAGACGGTGGCCCATTAGAAGATAAAGAGTTTATTAAAGCTTAAGATGCACACTTCTTAGTGTGGTCACCATAATGCATTGGAAAGAATATGCACTAAAGTACCCCTCCTTCTACATAGGCGTAAGCAAACAGCTTTGCTTTCATTGTTTCATCTGTCAACATTACAACATTCCCAATTCAGGATCATGATGATTCCCTTTCACAGATGAGTAAGTTGAGGCTTAGGTGGGTAATACATTTTCCCATCGTTGTTGTGGGTATTATGATAACCTCTGCATGTCCTGCTGCATGTCAGCTGTGCAAGAAGAAAGACAGAGGAGCCGGGAGCGAGCCGAGAGTGAGGCAGAATGTGCCAGTAGTGGTCATGAAGACATGCCCGTGGAGAGAATTCTAGAAGCTGAACTTGCTGTTGAACCAAAGACAGAATCCTATGGTGACATGAACATGGAGAACTCGGTATGTGCTCTTAGATACACATGTGTGTTCCATTTCTTGGATAGGGCTGGAAATGGGAGAAAGGGGTGTATTCGAGTCCTGGGACCTGTCCTCTCAGTACTTTCTTCCTTTTTCAGACAAATGACCCTGTTACCAACATATGTCATGCGGCTGACAAGCAGCTTTTCACCCTCGTCGAATGGGCCAAGCGTATTCCCCACTTCTCTGACCTCACCTTGGAGGACCAGGTCATTCTGCTTCGGGCAGGTAAAGTATATTGGCTGCCTTTCTCTCTGGGACAATTTTGAAATTGCTCTTGGGATCCTAAAAAACGTGGCCTGATGAAGCTGCAGCACATCCAAGCTATGTACCATGTTGATGATGAAATAACCCCATGCAGAGTTGTTTATTCCCAATTGAAACATTGTTAAGGAAGGAGTGGGACTCTTTTCCCATGCAAATTTTACCATGGCTTTATAATTTGCATACGTTTTTCAAAGACTGTTCAATCATTTTTATTGAGGATAATTTGAAGCAGCACCTCATTATTGTAATGCAATTGGCAAATATCTCACCCATTTCATGGGTGAGATAAAGAAGCCAAAGATGTTTGCTTAAGCGTGTACTAGATGAGTTCCATGATCTTCCTGTTTTAAGACTCTGTGTGCTGTATTTTCTCTTGCCTCCTATTTCTGGGACACTTGCAGACCGTTGACAAACTCCATATCTCCTGTTTGTCACTGAGCCAGTAGGGAAATATTATGACGATTGGCTGAGCATTGGGAACCAGTCCATTCATTCATCCCTGTTAGATAATGAGCACTCATTGATTGTCAGCTGGAAGCTACGTACTGTGTTGGGAGCTACTAGACAATGACAAAGAAACAAAACTAGGTTGTCAGGTTCTGGGGGCAGAGACTGCAAGGTATGTTAGCTTTGTCCACCCTGGCAGCTAACATAGTGACTATTATCTGCTAAATGTTCAATCCACATTGTTGACTGATTAAAAAAAAAAAAAGAAAGAATCCTTGTCCTCAAGCTGTCATTCTGGGTTGCATCTGAGAGAGAGTAGGGGATGTGCAGAGCCGTAAGTCAGCAGACTCCAGTCTTACCCTTTGTTTCTTGCCTAATTAGCTGTGTCCTCTTGAACTAATTCTTAACCTCCCTAGATTTTCAATTCTGCTTGTGTTATGTGGGATAATAGTACATGCCTTGGGTGATTATAAAGAAAGAAAGAATGTGGTCTGTTTTCCCTCAAGACCTCCTCCTTATTCTTGCAGGGTGGAATGAATTGCTGATTGCCTCTTTCTCCCACCGCTCAGTTTCCGTGCAGGATGGCATCCTTCTGGCCACGGGTTTACATGTCCACCGGAGCAGTGCCCATAGTGCTGGGGTCGGCTCCATCTTTGACAGGTGTCTCTCTTCTGCTTTCAGTATTTGTGTGTATTATGTATGTGTATGTATACACATGTGTATATACATGAATTCTCATGTGGGCATGAACCTCTGGGTAGTGCTGGGATGGAGGATGGGCAGCTCAGCTGCATGTGACTATGCAGAGACCACTTGGCACATGAAACTATAAACCTGGGGAATGAGGGAGAGATTAAAATAAATGTTGAGATCACAATAAGATGGAGCCAGTCAGAGGCCAGCACAGTTGCCAGGCAGATGGAAGAACCTGTTATCCCAATGGGTTTTCCAAGAAGAGATTAGATCTTGACACCAGCTAGTGAGTTGTGGGTGGAGAGGGTGAACGGCTTATCCTAGGGGTCAGGGATGGGAAAGGGATCAGGATCTGTCCGCAAGAGGACAGGCCAAATGAGCTGTTCATGCCGGGCTCTGGGTGATCTCAGAAGGAGGCCTGCAGCAGGAGCGAACCCATCTTGGTCAGGCAGGGACACCCTGGCAGACATTCTGGGCCTTAAATGATACTAAAGGAAAATTAAACCATCTGCCAAGGAGTCAAATAAAATGAGTAGTTAATGACTTGAGCGTGGGAGGATGGAGAACTGGTAAAGAGGAGAATTCAGTTGAAATTAATCTCTCTGTCCAGTGCCAGGGCCCTGTGGCCCCTTTCCACCTCCATGGTAAATGGTCTTTTTTTTTTTTTTTTTTTATCATGTGCACATCCACTGAACTGTCTCTACTATTTTCCTGCCCTTTCCCACATGTTCCATGTAGAGTCCAAAATGGCATTTGGAATGACCCATCCCCCTTCACGGTGCCTGGACATTTGTACCAGTTCACTGACTCTGCGCTCTGCTGTGCTTTTCTAGATATGCAATGCCCTTGGCTTGCTTTGCGTGTTGCATTTCTAATTTCCAAGACTTCCATGATGCCTTTCCGGTTCCCTGCTCGGAGTTAATTGCTGCCTCTTTGGAGCCCACTTGGACTTTGCTCATGGCTGTTATATTCCCGGGCTTTGTGTTGCTGCTTGTTTTTATGTCTGTTTCTTTAGTTAAGCTGTAATCTTGCAATGAGGGGTTGCATCTTTTTCATTTCTGTGTCCCTAGTACCTGGTACATCGTCTGGGAACAGAGTGGGTGTATAAAAATTTTGGTTGAATTCATTGTATTGACTCTTGGCCTGGTACTCTTGGTTTTCTCATTACCTGCTCCTTTCCTCTTAACAGAGTTCTAACTGAGCTGGTTTCCAAAATGAAAGACATGCAGATGGACAAGTCAGAGCTGGGGTGCCTGCGAGCCATTGTGCTCTTTAACCCAGGTAACCGCCCTTGGACCCCAGAGGCTGTGTGTGCTCAGCCCTTCCATGGCCAGCCTCCATTGCTCCCATGTTGTTGGTCCTCCAGCTCAGCTGAGACAGAGATGGCAGAGCCGGGAATCCAGGAGAACTCACAGTGTCAGCTACAGCCATCTTAAAAAAATGTTTTGAATGGGCATGGCAGGCACATGTCTGGGGCAAGTGGGGAAGATGAAAAATGAGAGTGGCCCAGGGTGGCAGTGAAGGGGGTGGTAAAAAGCAGTCAGATTCTGGATAGATTTCTAGGTAAAGCCACTGTGATTTGCTGATGGATTGAATATAGGATGTGAAAGAAAGAAAGGAGTTAAATATGACTCCCTGGTTTTTTTTTTTTTAATTTTGTTTTCCTGAACAATGGGAAAAATGAAGTTCTTATTCACTGAGGTGGGGAAAACTCCATGAGGAGCAGGTTTTGAGAGTAGGTGGGTAGGAATCAGGATCTTGTCTTTGGACATTAAAATAGGAGATGGGTAAGTAGATACCCAACAGTGGCTGCCCAGAAAGCTCATATGAGTCTGGACCTCATGGGAGAAGCCAGGACCAGAGACGTACATCTGAGAGCTGGCAGCCTCTGCCTGTGTAAGGCCATGACACTGGGGTGAGATCATCTGGGGAGACAGAGCAGAGAAGAGGGCTGGGGACTGAGCCCTGGGGCATGCCAACATTTAGAGGTCAGGGAGAAAAGGAAGAGCCAGCAAAGGAACCTGAGAAGGGGCAGGCAGTGAGATAGGGAGAGAATCAGAAGGGTGGTGTCCTGGAGGCTCAGGGAAAATAGTCTTTTATGAAGGAGTTGATCAGCTCCAGCAAACGCAGCTGTGGTCAAGAAAGATGAACCTTCAGAATGAGGAGTCACTAGTGCAGGGGCTTTACCTCCAGAATTAGGCAGTTAGTTCACTGATGCAGGACATGTGCCAGTTCAGCTTTTGTGCCTCATCTTATCATTCAGTTCATGCTTAGCACATAGATACTCAGTAAATGTGTGCAGGTAGTATTTTGAGAATGGCCTGGATAAAGTAAAGCTCTCCTCTTTAGAGTCAGTGGTGGGTACATTTGCCTATTAATGGAATTTAAAATCTTTGCCCCAAGAGTTTGTTGGGTAAGCTGGGCACAGAAAGAAGAGCAAGGGGGCACGAATGATCAGCTTTGTTTATTTCACACTTGTTTTCATCCAGGGTGTCTCTAGTAACTCTAGGGAGGGTGGCCAGAGGGAACGGGGACAGCTTCTGCTGGAAGGTGTGTAACCAAAGGCTAAATCACTCATCTCCTTTAGATGCCAAGGGCCTCTCCAACCCCTCTGAGGTGGAGACTCTGCGAGAGAAGGTTTATGCCACCCTCGAGGCCTACACCAAGCAGAAGTATCCGGAACAGCCAGGCAGGTGAGAGAGTGTCGGCAGGATAGTCACGGCAGCAAGGACTCCACTCTTCATCCCCTGAGCTCCTAATGTGCAGCAGGCACTGTTTAGGTGTTTTCACATGTTATTTAATCTTCATAACAAGCTGAAAATGACAAAAGTATTAACTCCACAGGGCTATTGGCCTTGTCTGTCTTGCTCACCATTCACTCCTCTAGCCTCAACACATAAAGCAGTGCCCGACACATGGTACACATCTTTAAATGGAGGATAAATAGCAAACAAATGTATAAATGTGGGAATTATTATCTCCAATTTCTGTCAGTAAACAGAACCTCAGAAAAGTTAAGTGACTTGCCGAAGACCATAATGCCAGCACGCAGTGGAGGTGAGATGGGAACCCACTGGGTGTGATTTCACAGAGCCTGTGTTCACGGTGTGACTGCATTGCTTTCTGTCTGCCCCCGTAGAAACTCCCACGCAGTACAAAGTACAGGCTTTGGTAGCTGGAAGATGTGGTTGCTGGTCCCCAGGTGCCATGTGTGTGGTATCTGGCAAGGTGCTGGGTTTGAGTCTAGGCTTCTCATTTGGAAAGAAGGATATTGGTCTAGCAGATCTCTGAGGCCATCTAGCAATATAGGTATTTCTGAGTTATTAAAAAATATTCTCAAAAGTTTCTTCCAAAGTACAGTTAAGCAAAAGAGTTTTCCCTCTCTGCTAATGCCAGCTAAAATGAGGAAATATGATCCTCAAATCTCATAGAAAACTGGAAATGAAACTGAAAAGACTGTCTTAAAGACATTAATTTTGTTGGGGCGATTAATTTTACATGCTCCCAGCGCTGACTAATGATTTATATTCCTCCGTGAAGTCTAATATCTACTTAGATGTTTATCCTGAATCATAAGCCAACATCTAGCAATTGTCAAGAAGCGGTTGAGCTGTGTTTTTTGTTGGAGGCTGTGGATGAATTCGAGTAGGTGGGTTTTGGCCCTTTGGTGCAATGAATAGGCAGGGCCTAGTATATTAGTGAGATTAAGCTGTAATAATAGACCCACCAAATGCCAGCAGTTTAACACAAACATCTATTCCTTGCTCAGAAATCTGGGTGGGCAGTCAGTTCAGAGAGGTGGCTGTCTTGCATGCTGTCACTCAGGGATCAAAGCTCCTTTTTCTTGTGTCTTCACCATGACCCAGAGCCATACTGTGTTTTGCATCCAGATGAAGGAAGGGGGAAGAGGTAGAGGAGTGGGGAGGCCAGGCCATACGCGTCAGACCTGGGACTTAGAGGGCCCTCATCTTTTCACTCACTTTCTTTGGCTGACACCAAGTCATGTGTCTCAGCTGGCCACAAAGGAGGCTGGAGAATGTGTCCTGCTGTATGCCAAGGAAGAGAAGAAAAGGCTGGTATTTAGTGAACCTGGCACTTCACTATAGATGAGAAGATGAGAGAGCTCTGGCCAAGGGGTCAGGACCTGGCTGCCAGCATTAGCTTGGCCTCTGTTAGGTGTGAGCCCTAGGCAAGTCATAGTAACTGAAGCCCTGAGTTGGATACTTTCTATCAAACCTTTCATTTTTGAACACGTATTTGTATGCAGGGCATTAGAAATAGTGAGTGTCGTATATATCATTTTCCTGAAACTGGCTCTATGTCTTGCCGTTTCTCTTAAAAAACAAACAAAAACTCCAACTCGCTTTTTTCCTAATTATAAAAGCAATGCATACTTTGGCTAAAAAAAAAATAGAAAAATATTTTGAAAAAACACGTGGTGGCTCACACCTGTAATCCCAGCACTTTGGGAGGCTGAGGTGGGCGGATCACCTGAGGTCAAGAGTTCGAGACCAGCCTGACCAACATGGAGAAACAGCGTCTCTACTAATAATACAAAACTTACCGGGGCTTGGTGGTGCATGCCTGTAATCCTAGCTATTCAGGAGGCTGAGGCACGAGAATTGCTTGAACCTGAGAGGCGGAGGTTGTGGTGACCTGAGATCGCACCATTGCACTCCAGCCTGGGCAGCAAGAGTGAAACTCTGTCAAAAAAAAAAAAAGTAGGTAATAAAAACTTACTGGAAATATTTTGGTATATTTCTTTCCAGTATCCTCATGTGTCTATTATGTATTATGTGTATCGTGTATGCATTTCTAGATATGAAATTATACAGTTTGGTGTATTATTTTCTTCCCTTAGCCATTCTAGGAATTTTATTCAGTTATTGACAACTACAAATTGTCATTTCCAATGGCTTTGTAATATTTTGCAATGTGAACATATCCTAATGTATTTAGTCATTGCCCTGTGATGGACATTGGGTTGTTTCCAATGCATATCACTGTGAAAACTTTGGAACTTGACTCTTCTGCTGGACGAGGGCTGGCAGGAGCCTAGGCTGCCTTCACACACTGAGGAGAGAGGCCAACACTTGTTGCCAGGACTAGGGAGAGCCTGGAACAGCAGAGAGGTGGCAGAGGATGGGTACCCTACATGTCTCCTGTGTTCGTCCAGCACAGCTTGGACTGAGGGTGACTGCCCTGATTAAGTGTTCGTAGTTGGCTCAGCAGGTAAAACAGGGGGGTCACTGGCCAGGTAGGTGAGTGTGTTGAGGGCTGGTCACCTCAGTTCTGCAGAATGTGGTTGAAGGGGATCCTGGCACAGCCAGGTGGAGGTGGATTTCTCAGTGGTAGAGTGCTGCCACTCTGTGGAGATGTCTCAGAAGTGCATGTCACGGGCTGCGTTCTGCTTTCTCTGGTCAGAAAGCAGAGATCAAAAGTCAGGTCACAGAGCTCTTGCACACACAGCAGGTGCCTCCAAAGGCATAAATCCCCCTTGTTGCTCAGGGGTGAGGAATGCGTTGGCAGTTCCATGGCTGTGACATTCATGGGTGTGTTTATTTCTATTGGCTTTGAACTCAGTTCCTAAATCCAGGTCACAAACAGAGAGCAGCAATATGATGGCATACTTAGCATTTTGCATTTTGTAAAATCTTGGCCTTTTTAGAGTAAAAAAAAACACTTTTAGGGTTAATCTTGGTGTAACTTTGCACTTATAGAGAAGCCGTTTCCTTCGCCTACTTCCATAAAGCTTACCAGCAGAGGTATGGCTGGGAGTCCAGCCTCCTTATTCTCTAACGACCTCTTTCCTGAACGGTGATGCCACTCAAATGCTTTCTGGGGCTTTACCGCTGGAGGCTTTTGCAGTAATGTGTGGCATTGGCATAGACCTTTAATTTTTCTACATAGAGAAGCAATTTCTACTTTTTTAAAGATGGTGCCACTTTATTTTTCTTGTATTGATACATTTCTTTAAAATGTCATATGGCATGAGTATAGAAATATACACATTTTCAAGGAACATTGAACTTCCAGTTTGTAACTTTTTCATGAAATATCATTGTGACACTCAGTCGAGATTCAACTGGAACCAGAAATCTCTGATTTAGGGCTACAGTGGCTAATGCGATTTTGGTCCTTGAACTTTTTATTGTAAGTTGTGAGTAGAGTGACTTCATATCTAGTAGCATTAATAACGTTAAAAGTGAGCTGGCATTGCACTGTGCGCAGAGGGCCACATAGGCAGAGTGAAAAATGTCACAGAGAGAGGTGCCCAAAAGGACATGAGATGGGAGATGAATTCCTTCACACACTGGTCTTTCTCCCTGTTGTGAATCTCACAACAAGTGTCCTCACTTATAGAAAAATGTATGTGAGGGTGTGTATGAGTGAGCATGTGAGCGTGTGTGTGGGCATGTCTTAGGACGTGTTAGAGTATGAGTGTTGAGTGTGTGTCTGCATGTTTGAGTGGTTACATGCACATGTGTGTGTGAGCATGAGTGTGCATGTATGGGTGTGAGACCTCATGCATGAGATATGTGAGAATGCATGTGCGCACATGTGTATGTGTATTGTGTAATGTGCATGACTATAGTGTGAGAGCATGTGTGAATGTGTATGCAAACGTGATGTATGTGTGAAGGTGTGTGTGCATGCACATGTGAGGTCATGTGAAAGTGCATATGAGTGGGCATGTGTATATGTGTGAGGCTGTGTGTGCAAGTGCATGTGTGTGAGGGAATGTGAGAGCATCAGAGTGTGAGTGTGCATGTGTGAGTGGTGAAGATGTGTGTGAGGGCACATGGGTGTGAAGCATGTGCGAGTGTGTATGAGAATGTGTGGGTCAGTGTGTATGCATGCGTGCATGTATGTATCCTCTCCCCAAACAGATCATAGGCTTCTCAGAGGCAGAGACCATTATTTTCTATCTCCTGTTTTCCTAATTTAAGGGTAAGCACAGACTAAGAAGTTGACCATAAAAATTCGTAACAATTGGCTGGGTGCAGTGGCTCATGCCTGTAATCCTAGCATTTTGGGAGGCCGAGGCAGGTGGATCACCTGAGGTCAGGCGTTCAAGACCAGCCTGGCCAACATGGTGAAACCTCATCTCTACTAAAAATACAAAAATTTAGCTGGGCGTGGTCGTGGGCACCCGTAATCCCAGCTACTTAGGACGCTGAGTCAGGAGAATCTCTTGAACCCGGGAGGTGGAGGTTGCAGTAAACCAATATTGCGCCATTGCACTCCAGCCTGGGCAACAAGAGCGAAACTCCCTCTCAAAAAAGAAGGTAACAATTGGTTACAAATTGGCAACAAAAATTTGGTGACTGTGAGCTGGCATTGCACTGTGCATATGCCTGTAGTCCCACCTACTTGAGAGGCAGAGGTGAGAGGATTGCTTGAGCCTAGCTACTCAGGTCCAGCCTGAGCAATATGGCGAGACCCCATTCTTAAAAAATTTTTTTGTGGGTGTGGGTAACTAAAGCAAATTGAAAGCATGGTGGCTAAAGTGGCGTTCTCAAACACGTTCATCTAACGGTGACAACTGCCACGGATTCAGCACATTCGGTGCCTCATGCTTTGCTCTAAGTTCTTCAGCAGGTCTGTGCAGATACCCGAGGGACACAGAATGTGACGAGACAGTAAGGCTGGCAACGTGAGTGGACACAGTCATCCAGTTCTTCCTCTTCCCCACTGTGAACGAGGGGAGCTGAGGGCAATCCTGGGACGTGGCTACTGAATGCAAGATTCTTGAAGGGTCATGTGCTCCAGCTTCTGCCTTTAAGGCTGACGAGCCCTCTAGCCTGTTTCTGAAGCTCTCTAGGCTTAGAGATCCTGTGACTCCCTTGTCTCCCCTTCCAGCTCTTCTATCATAGATTGGGCAAGAAGACCAAATGGACGGTCTCCCACCAGCAGGTGCAGGTGTGCGGTGCATGCCAGTCCCTGTTCCTGATGCCTCTTGGCTTCCCTGCAGGTTTGCCAAGCTGCTGCTGCGCCTCCCAGCTCTGCGCTCCATTGGCTTGAAATGCCTGGAGCACCTCTTCTTCTTCAAGCTCATCGGGGACACCCCCATTGACACCTTCCTGATGGAGATGTTGGAGACCCCGCTGCAGATCACCTGAGCCCCACCAGCCACAGCCTTCCCACCCAGGATGACCCCTGGGCAGGTGTGTGTGGACCCCCACCCCGCACTTTCCTCCACCTCCCACCCTGACCCCTTTCCTGTCCCCAAAATGTGATGCTTATAATAAAGAAAACCTTTCTACACATGAGACTTTTATAGGTGGACTTCTGTATAGATGTTAAAGGTAATACTCGTTGCTGTCTACAGGGCTGGGGGACTTTTTGGAAGTTCTTGGGAAAACTAACCAAGCCTCTGTACATATAATTGGTTTAAATTATTTTTTCACTTGCCCTGGAAAGCAAACAAATGAGTAATAAAATAATATATATGAAATTGGCACTGCTGGAGCATGGGGTGTGTTATTGTGCTACAGGGAAGTTGTCTCAGACATGGAGAAGGGGTATCAGAGGCTGGGGGTCGGTGCTGGGGCTGGGGCCCTGAGACTAAATCCCAGAGCACAATGCCCGTGTCTCAGCTGGGATTCGCTGCACAGCCAGCTTCGCCCCAGGGAAGATTCTGGGGAGACTGGGAAGAGACACTGTCTTTAAAAAAATCAACATTTTTTTTGTTTTGTTTTTTTGTTTTCCTCCTAAGAATAATGAGCAGAAAGAGACTTATTTTGATTGGAGGCAATTCAGTATAAGGCCAAAGGAGAGATGTTCTCTGTCCTGGAAGCTGGTGGAAGATCTCAGGTTCTGGGAGTTGGTAACAAAGGAATCGAGTTTTCTATTATATCATGAGCCAGCAACAACACTGAAAAGACTAGAGTACACCTAGCTTATTTTCCAATCTTATCTAACCCTACGCAGCCTGTTCTTAAAAGGGAAAGAGAGAAAACCTCTCCCATCTTCCAGCCTGGGATCTCCAGATTTACCTGGTTCTTGAAACTCAACTGCTTGCTGGACAACGAGCTCTTGGAAGGTATGGACCATGACAACACGGACGGCCCATATAGCTCACTGTTTTCAACTCACATTCCTGCCACCTACAGGACTAGGGCTTAACAGACACACACATTCATGTATGCTGTGAATTACACGGTACCTCCTAGGGTTGTAAATGTGCAGGGTGAACAACTGCACTTACCTTTTCCATACCGCAAGCACCTGACTCAGGGCCTGGTAAAGCACACAGTGATCTGTGTTGTTGAGTTGGGTTCCACACAGCTAGAAAGAATTCCCTAAACGACAATGTGGATGACATTTGTCTCATTCCCCATCAATAACTTGTCCCCTCAAAATCTCCAGGTTAACGCTCCAGTCAAAATACAATTGTGTGATCAGCGATTGCTTTACTAAAATTGCTTTACTCCTAAGAAAAATTTAGGGATCTCTTAGCCTTGGACATTAAACAATGGAAGGAAAATCTGAATTCTGCTGTTTTTTTCCTTTACTTATGTATCTGCATTTACCGTGAACTATGATGAAAATGATTGGAGAGGGGTGTTAAAATTTAATTGTATCCTCCGTGATCTCTTCCTTCTGCCAGCATAATTCACTGGACACATTCAACTGCCTTACAGGTAACCAAAAACCTTCCAGGAAAATTCACTGCTCCCCACCACTGGTGGTCACCTGAGTCCCATTCCAATTTTTTTTTTTTTTTTTAGATGGAGTTTTGCTCTGTTGCCCAGGCTGGAGTACAGGGATGGGATTCTGGCTCACAGCAACCTCTGCCTCCCAGGTCTGAGCAATTCTCCTGCCTCAGCCTCCTGAGTAGCTGGGACTACAGGTGTGTACCACTGTGCCCAGCTAATTGTTTTGTTTTTAGTAGAGAGAGGTTTTCACCATGTTGGCCAGGCTGGTCTCAACCTCCTGACCTCAAGTCATCTACCACCTCGGCCTCCCAAAGTGTTGAGATTACAACCACGAGCTACTGCGCCTGGCCCGCATTCCAATCTTTGATCCCTTTTCCAGCAAACCTTAGCTATTGCCCGCAGCCAAACACAGACTCATCAGGGCCCAGCAGGGTGCTGCACATCCATCAAGTGCAGTGTCTCCTGAACTGCTGCTGGAGAACCTCACTGAGCCTGAACAGAAGCTTGGCGGGAGCCCGGCTGTCTTTGTTGCATGGGGGCGTCCCATGAGACTCAGGGCCCCAAAGGCCAGCTCCTTCCTGAACCGGTCCTCCTTATACCGTAGCAAGAGCAACTGAGTGGGTGCTCAGCCCCACCTAGACTGAGGCTCACCTTCCCGAAGGCCTGGCTCCACAGAAGCCATGACAAACTTCTAGGGCCCACATCCCTGAAGAGTGAGACCTTTCCTCATTCCACATGCCTCACCTACAAGCGGAATCAGCTGTGTGAGGGGATAGCGTGGTCGAGACTGACTAATGTTTTTGGAGTCCCATACGCTATACTACGTAGCCTGACTTAAAACAGAGGAATGTAGCCTTGCTTTCCACAAGCTCTCATAGAGCCTGAGCTCATGGCTCTGGGGTGAAAAGCTTGTCACTCTGGACTTAGGCAGCCAGAGCTTGGCTCCTGGCTCTGCCAGCTGTAGTCTTGGGTTTAGGGAAAGTTACTTACCCTCCCTGCCTCTCATTTCCTTACCTTATTTGTAAAGGTCAGATTATAATAACCATCTTTTAAGGATGAAAATATGAAAAATGCATAAAGCCTAGTGTGAGAGCACGTACATAAGACATACTTGGGTTTTGAGTCCTGACTTTGTCATTTCTGATGGACTTAAACCTCATTGAGCCTCAGTTGCCAAATCCATGAAATGGGATTCTTGTGAGGATTACATAAGCTAATGCTCTTAGTCCTGTGACTGGCATGGAAGATGGGCAAAAATATTAATTTATTTTCTGTTGAAGAGTGAGATTGCAATTTAAACTTAATCTTGGAGTTTTGAGGAGACTGCTGGAACATTCTATTCCACAGCCAGCTTGGATCATCCAACATAGTGTAAAAGGGATCAACAATTTCTAGTTTTGAGTTTTGGTTCAACACTTTTATTCTAGGTCACATCTTCATCATCAGGAAAATGGGAATGAACCACCCCATTTTCCTAACAAACAGTGCTGCTACCAGGAAGGCCTGTGTGAGCCTCAGGGGCCACGTGAGTGCAGGGCGCTAGTGACTGTGGAGCCTGCCTGTGAGTCAGACGGGAGGAAATGCAGGCAGGGAGGTGCTGTGGTTATGAACACGGGCTCAGAGTCAGCCCAGCCGGCCTCAATTAAAATCCCATCTGACCATTGAGTAACCCTGGGGAAGTGATTTAACCTGTTAGACCTTTGTTTTCTACTTTGCAAACTGTGAAAAATATAGTACCTGTCTACAGGAGCCTGTTGAGAGAAGCAGATGAGGTGAGCTATGAACTGGACACAAGGCTACGTCTGGCACGTGGTGAGCTCTCAATTAATTTTAGTACACCATCATTACGAGTATTATTACTCATCTGAGTACCTTCTACGGGATTCCTGCTCTGGAAAGAGGTCCAGACTCCATGGAAAAGCCCTGCCCTACACCTAATCCTCTCCACACCCTATCTAACCTGAGAGCAATGCGCACCTTAGCCCCCATCCACCACGCCGACACCTCACCCCTGCAGTGTGGGCCTGCCCTTCCCCACAGGCTTGGTGTGAAAGTTAAGTGAGGTAATTTAAAGACGGCATTTTGCACACTATTAAAGACTGTGAAAAAGATGTCATCTGCACAGTAAGTATTTCTCGGCCTTGGCCGTTTCTTTTCATATCCTTCAGTGACATCCACCAAATATTTGTTTATAATTTTATATTGCTTTCTTGCTCAAAAACTTTGTGAAATCAACCAAATATGTTTATAATTGTATACTGCTTTTTTGCTCAAAAACTTTAAATGACTTGCTTTAGTCTTTATTAAGCAGTCTCAGGCTGGGCACGATGGCTCGTGCCTGTAATCCCAGCACTTTGGGAGGCTGAGGCAGGTGGATCATGAGGTCAGGAGTTCGAGACCAACCTGGCCAACATGGTGAAACCCTGTCTCTACTAAAATATAAAAATTAGCTGGGCATGGTGGCAGGCACCTGTAATCCTAGCTACTCGAGAGGCTGAGGCAGGAGAATCACTTGAACCCGGGAGGCAGAGGTTGCAGTGAGCCGAGATCACACCATTGCACTCCAGCCTGGGTTATAAACGCGAAACTAGGTCTCAAAAAAAAAAAAAAAAAAAAAAGGCAGTCTTACCAGGGTGCAAGTGTGTCCCTCCCCACCCCCAGGGACATTTAGCAATATCTGAAGACATTTGTCATGACTAGGGGAGTTCTGATGGGTGAAGGCTGGGGATGCTATTAAACATCTATAACGCACAGGACAGCCCACAGCAAAGAATTATCTGCCCCCAAATCAAAAGTGCTTAGATTGCAAAACTGCTACAAAGCATCACTAATGAAATAAAATACCAAATAGTATTTTCCATTGTTTTTTAACTTTGGCTAAAGCCCCAAGGTGAGGCCACGAGGTCCCCTCATGTTCTAAAGACTTATGAAGGTAGATGAGCTGCTTCTGTGACTTATTCCTTTTCTGGAGCCTATGTTCGTAGAAGATTGGAATTTAAGGAGAGAAGTCCTCAGAATAAGGAGTACTTGGGGAGCTGAGTTGTGGCTTTACTTACCCTATCCCGTCAGGGTATACCACGAGAGGGAGGGGTCCCCATCCCTGTGGCAAATGAAGGGAGCAGAAAAGAGCCACTCATTGAGTGGGTGTGGACACCTACATAATGGGGAGGCTCGTGCCTGGCATCCTGGCTCATGCTTGCCCAGCAGCAGAAACCCACTGCCCCACCTTGCCGCAGAGGGTGGGGAGGGAGTGCTGGGAGGGGCCTGGGCTACCGGCGGAGCAAGATGGATGTCTCTGCTTGACAGAGACCTCTGAGGACAGGGGCCCCTTGTGAAGGTATAAGTGGGGAAGGAAAGGAAGAGAACTGCGTCCCACTGCCCTCCTCCATGTACTTGGTTTGCCCAGGATGTGGCATTTTCTATGAGCCAAATGAATTCCCTGGAAAAAAAACTGTTTTTAGAATATCCTGAAGGTACCAAGCCAAGAGAGTGCCCTCTCAAGGCAAGGGGACCCCCGCAGTAAGAGGCTGTGGATTGAACTGCTATGGGCAGGAACTAGGGGTCAAGCAGAACCTTCGCTGCCCATAGCTGTTACAGTGCAGGACAGAGTTCCCCATGGGCCCTCCTGAAGGCTCCCTGTAGGCACTGAGAAGAGCCACCTGTGGGTTCTTTCCACATGGAAGGCATCAACAGCACCACGGTCTTAAGAGCACTTCTCTCTCTTCTCATCCTTCTTCCAGGGCCCAGTTCCCTGGTAGAGAGAGAGAAAGAAGACCCCAAAAAGGAAGGAGGGGGAAGAAGGTAAAGGCAGAGAGAAAGAAGTGACCAGTAAGTTTGTGTTAGTTCAGACTTTGTGACTACTGAAGTGAGATATTCTGGGCTTTGCCTGAATACTGCTGATAGGCAAGAATAGCACAGAGCTGGTTTGAAGTCTGGCTGGAAGAGAATAAAGCTTTTCTGTTTGTATTCATTGACTGTAGAGGCTTTGCAATACCAGCTGCACCAGTAAAAACCCAGGCCCCAGGCATGCACCAGCTTGACTTTGCCTTCTTTGGTTGCCAGTCTCTCAGACTTAGCAACATTGTTTTCACTTCTGCCCCTGGAATAGCCTAGATGGCCTGGCCCAGCCCATCTGCCCGAAGTATCAGCTGTTTTGATTTAGTTCCGCCTCTGACATAAGCCCCAGCTTTTTGGCAGGGCAATCAAGGCTGTCCATGGCTAGGCCCCAGAGTAAAAGTTCCCAGCTCTCTCCTTGTGTACCGTGCACATACCTTCAGCTGATTTAGCTATTTCTTAAATGACCTGCTGTCTATGTCTTTGCTCAGACATTCCTCTCTGCCTGGCATGACTCCTTCACCAGCTGTAGTTACTCAAGTCCTACTCATCCTTTTAGACCAGCTCAAGGGCCACATCTGTGTGAAGTTTTTCCTGATCTCTCCATCTTTGGAACATTATCATTATCCTGTGTCTCCAGTAGAAACTGTTCAGCACTGTGCATTGCATTATTGACTGATTGTATATACCATTGACTTGACTTGTAAACTCCGTAAGGGCAGATCATGTCTGATTCAACTGCATATTCACAACGCCTCTGAACAGAGTGTCCAGCCCAAAGTTGGCATTCAATACATGTTAGTGCAATTGGCACCTCTGGTTTCATTCCCAGTAGATGGCAGCCCATTGAAAATAGTCTGTCCCCACAGCAAGCCCCGCAGCCTACTGGAGCCCTGAGCCTGAAAACCAGTCCTGCGTAGGATGTTAAGAGGAGGTATGAGGTCTCCAATGCCTGCCAAGTTACTTTTCATGGGCACAGCAGGCAGTGGCCCAAGAACTTGAGGCATATTCTTTGCCTTCAGGGAACTTACAATGGAGAAAAGCAGAAAGCACAAGGACCACTGTATCCTAAGAAACAATGTATCTACAGCACTTTGAAGTTCACAAAACTCACATGACAGTCTGTGGTGGTAATCTGTCCTTGGAGAAGTAGGTAGAGAAGCTGCTGAGGTCACCATGTTAAAGATGAGAAACTGGGACTCTAGAGATTCAACGACTTGTCTTGGGACACACATGGTGGTCAGCATTCAGCTACTGTCACGGCAGGTGCAGAACCAGTGCCACTCAACTCCAAGACCTTAAGACCTATATCCTCAGTGAACCTTTTTTACTCGCTTTTTTTTTTTTTTTAAGATGGAGTCTCACTCTGTAGCCCAGGCTGGAGTGCAGTGGCATGATCTTGGCTCAACGCAACCTCCACCTCCTGGGTTCAAGCAATTCTCCTGCCTCAGTTTCCTGAGTAGCTGGGATTACAGGTGGACACCACCACTCATGCCCAGTATTTTCAGTAAAGGCAAGGTTTCAGCATGTTGGGCAGGCTGGTCTTAAACTCCTGTCTCGGTCTGCCAAAGTGCTAGGATCACAGGCGTGAGCCACCACACCCGGCCCTCAGGGAACTTTTTATATTCTGTGCCCATGAAATATTTGTAGGTTGAGAGATTGTTATATATGAAGAACAAACATAAAATAATAAGGGATGATGTTTTTTTACTAAATGTGGAACTTGGATAAACAAACCAACATTAAGCTAACAGCTCCTTCAGGAGTTTTACTTCAAGGATACTTTCCTTGGATAGTTCCCTTTTACGTTTGTCTTTAGAGCCGGTTTAAGGCCACCTAAGATACATGATCTCATGAGTCTATACTAAGGACTTTTAATGACTTCAACCACTCTCACCGTCCAGGTTCACGTACCATGCCCATCAATCTGGAACCCAGCATACACCAGGCCCCAGGCTGGCACGTTCGTATTTCCATCTTTATTTCCTGCATTGTTCAAGAGATTTGGAGCCGAATGGCATTTGAGTATTTCTAAAAACTAAATCTACTCTCTCTGTATGACAATTTGCCACCACTTCTGTAATTCAAAGAATCTGACTCAGGCTCTGGAAGAGCTGGGTCTTGGAGCCAAATGATCTCCAGGCTTCAGGCAATAAATCAACAATGCCTTTCCACTAGGAGAAGGCTTGGGGCGGCAGTTACAAGATTAATTAAGGCGTGACTGGGAGGGGCTAAGTGAGTAGTGAAATGGAAAGCACAAACCCCTTTTTTCCGAAGGCAGGCAGGGAAGACAGATCTGAGTAAGAGGTGTTCGTTTGTGAAGAGAACTGGAGACCCAAACTCTTTCCCAGCTGGGGAAGAGCAGAAAACTCCATGGAAATGTCTCCCGCGACAGTGGCGGCGCACACAACCATCTCTGACCACAGACCACAGAGGAACTAGCCCGGCCCAGCCTCCCCAGGCATCTCGGATTGTGCAGCTGCGAGGGATACTTGCAACCCGCCCTTCCCGGGCTGCACACTTTGTGCAGGAAGATTGTTAGGCCTGGGCGCCCTCTGCTGCCCGCTCAGGGCATCACAATTCCGAGAAAGCAGCTTCCCAGAGGCCTGAGAGGGAAGGGATTTTAAAAATTGAAAACAAAAATAATAGTTTGGGAAATGAACCTCAAATAGACTCAGAGGAAAGGGTACCCTTAGCCAGATGCTCACGCACTCAGTGGAGTGTTTTTGCATCAGACTCTGGGGAAATGGGCTCAGAGGGGAATCTCAAGGGGGAATGGTTGGAGCATCCCATAGAGAATGCCCGGAAAGGGCTCATGTTCAAGCTGGGAAGGAACAACCTCCTACTCACCTGTCAGCCACTCCACTGGCTAATGGGGACATACAAAGCCGAAGGCTAATGCCACATCAGGACTGGTTCCTCAAAGGGGGTTACCGCTCCATTCAACAATCGTGCTCCCACAGCAACATGACAGATCTCTTTCCCAGAGGTAGAATTTCGGACATTTGAGACTGGCTAAATGTGAGTTTTTAATGGGATGGTGTTTTAGGGAAATTTTCTGTTGTTCTTTTCCTGGTTGTTGTACAGAGTACAAAAGTGCCAGATCAGCCCTTCCCAAATTTGCAGAGCCAGATGTGGGCATTCACAGAAAGCTGACCTTGCTCCCCTTAGGAGGAGCAATGCTGATGGCAGATGGCCTGGTGGAAGGAGCAGGGGACAAGGAGTTAGAGGGCCTGTGGTCCTCTTCTGATTATGCAGCAGGTGACTTGTCTGACCTGGGCAGGTCCCCAAACCTCTCAGGCCTTCCGCTTTCTCTTCAGTAAAATCAAAGATTCTAACCAGATAGTCTCTCCTCTTTGAATCAGTAGTGTCTTTTAGAGATGGATTGACATTCTGCTCCACGACCTTACATGAAAGCAGGGATCACCCTGAGCTCTGGGCACTGGTTTCAGAGAGAATCTATTCCTTAGAAAGCCCAGAATCTAAAGGATAAAATGCACAGTTTAAAAAATTATCAAATTATGAATTGAGCACCTGCTATGGCTTTATTGCTCTGTTAAAGGATAGATTTATAAGCCTGGGAGAGATAGCAAAATCCCTCTTTCTACAAAAAATACAAAAATATTAGCCAGGTGTGGTGGTGTGCACCTGTATTCCCAGCTACTCAGGAGGTTGAGGTGGGAGAATCTCTTGAGCCTGGGAGGTCAAGGCTGCAGTGCACAGTGATTGCTCTACTTCACTCCAGTCTGGGTGACAGAGTGGGACCCCGTCTCAAAAGACATATATATAGACTTATAAAGATGGTTTCTAATCCCAGGTGAGCAGAATTGAGTTTATCTGTCTGAGTTTATGGTAAAACAGACCATTTAAGGTACTTCTTTTGTTTATTTTTCTCCTGTCATCTACTATCTCAGATCCAAATCTTCTCCAAAGATTCCAAGTTCTTATTTTTTTTCTAGTAGATCCTTGAAAATCCACCTTCCACAGGCTTATTTCTACACTTAACATCCACAGAAATTATATGGCATTATTTTGTATGTTTTAAAATTGTATATGAATGATTTTTTGGTATAAATTTCATTTTGATCCATCCTTCGTTTTGCTCTGTATGGCACTTTGCCATCCATCAGCGATGCTCTGTGTAACTCTGGCCAGTTCCTTTTAATTGCGGCACAGTGTTTCAGTAAACACGTAGATGGCCGTCGGCTCTTCACCGTGACAGGCATTCTTGCACGAGTCTCCTTGCTTACCTGTAGGCAAGTCCTACTCCTGGGTACATGCCCCAGAGAGTACAGTATTCGCATACGCAGTTTCACTATACTTTCCTACTTTTTCCAAACGTTTGTACCAATGTATATACATTATATACTCCCACCAGTGACAAGGGTCTCATTTCCACACATCCTTCTTAGCATTTGGTATAGTTCAGATTTCTAATTTTGTCAGGGTGCTTCATACAAAGCCTTCCTCTGATTTATCTTTCTCTTATTACTAGAAAGGTCTAGCTCCTGTTTCCTTATTCAGCATTCAGATTTCTTATGGGTATTCTGTTGCTTATCTTAAAGGAATTACAATTTAGGCCTGGCTCAGAAGGGGTAAGTGCTTACTATATATCTCAATGGACTGAATGTTTATGTCCCTTTCCCCTCAATTCAAATGTTGAAATCTTAACCCCCGAGGTAATGGGGGAGGTGGGGCTTTTGGTAAGTGATCATGAGGGCAGAGAATGCGATTAGTGCCCTTATAAAAGAGACTCGAGAGAGATATGTTGGTCCTTTCACCACGTGAGGACACAGTCAGAAGTTGGCCATCTATGAGCTGGGAAGTGAGTCCTTATCAGAAACCAGACTGGTTCGCTTGATCTTGGACTTCCCAGTCTCCAGAACTATGAGAAATTCCTGCCGTTTTATAACAGAATGTTACATTGGGAGTAGTTTCTCCCAATCTAATACCATCTGTTCACTTGAGCAGAATCTTTAATTTTGATGTGGTCAAATCCACCCTCTTCTCACCTTATGGTTTGCAATTCTAGAGTCTTGTTGGAGGGACCTCCTTCACCGAAGGTTCCAGAATCATTTTCTCATTAACCTAACAAGAGACTCAAGGAGCCATGTGGGGATCACAGTAACTGCCTTTTAAGAGACAGATCCGGAATGGAGAACATGACAGGCCTTTCTACCCTCTTCCCTTCCTGAACTACAGATGTCCAAGTCTACAGAGCAGGGCTGACCTGATTTAGCCACACTTTCCATGGTGGAGAAGCTGAAGAATGGGGACCTCCTGCGGTGAGAGTGCCTCTGTTAAGGGGTTCATCCCATGGGTCCTGGAAGCACATGGCTCACTGAACTTCAACATACACAGCAGGTCAGGCTTTTACCCCTCCACCTTGTCCCATCCACCTTGTCCGGGGCAGAAACGTATCTGAACAAATGGAGAGGCACATGACATTCCCTCTATGGCCATCTACGTGTTTACTGAAACACTGTGCGGCAATTGAAAGGAACTGACCAGAGTTACACAGAGCATCACTGATGGAGGACAAAGTGCAGTACTGAGCAAAACAAAGAATGGATCAAAATGTAACTGATATAAAAAAATCATCCATGTCCAGTTTTACAGCTCTCCTTCATCTAGCCAATCAGACTAGTCACCTCTCTCCTATGAGGACGAGCAAGTGACAGGTTGGACAGGGAAGCCAAAGGATTTCTTCAAGGACTTTTATGTCCAGTAGACAAGCAGGAACCCTTCATCTTTGGGCTAAAATGAGCATGTGAGATTAGGAAGAGTAGAAAGTTCCTTTCTCTAGCTAATCTTAATATCTTTATATTACAATTGAAGAGGAGTCTCAGAGAGGCTGAGTCACTTGTCCATGGCCATACAGGAAGTAGGAGAGCTGAAAGTCAAAACCAGTCTCTAAAGTGAGACAGACTCTAACCCTTAACCACAAACGCATAATTTCTCCTCTGTCACCAAAAACCTACGTCTAGGCTGTGATTCTCCAATACTCTATTTCCTCCAAATCATAGATGCTCAGGATGTTGCAACTTCAGCAGCCACTGCTTCCTTCTGCCTGATATATCTATGGAGGTCCTAGAGACCCAGAGGGCAAAGGGACTTGTCCAAAGCTGCCAGCAAAGCAGAGGCAGAAAAATTACGTGTTTTATAAACACATCATGAAGAGTTCTGCCTCACTGCTGGATGCTTGCAGCCTTGAGCTTCTGTTCTGAAGGGGACTAACAGAAATAATACAGATTCAACTCAATCTGATTTAGGTTAAAAAGTCTCACAAAATTGAAAGTCTTAAGACAGGACCAGCTCCAGGTATGGAGGGCCCAGGCCTTCGGTTGATACCTTCAGGACTCTTGCTATCCCTGGGGTCTGCGTTTCTCTGTTCAAGTCATTCTTGGTAATCTTGACCAAAAATGACTTCCAGGAACTCTAAGTTGGCATCCTTGTGGGCCAGTGACCCCAGCCAAAGGAGGAGAGACCTTTTCCAGCAGAAATCTTGGAGCAGATATTCACAAGCTCTACTTGATTGGAATTAGGTCCCAGATACACCCACGGGAATGGTGGGAGACATAGCAAGGGATGAATCACATGGGCTGAACCTGGGAAGGAATGGTTTCCTAAAATGAAAACTGATATGTGCTCACTGGAATTGGGAATGGATCCTGAAAGGCAAAAACCTAGATGTCAACACAACTGACAGATTCAACACGCGGCCACGTCTGTGTATTTCTCTATTACTACCATTGCTCTGCTACCAGGCAACCTGCATTGCACACACACGGTACTCCAGACACTGGGCCAAGCATTTCTTATGCAGTACCTTATTTTATCCTCAGTGTACTTCTATGAAGTGGCTACTATCATGATCCCCATTTTAATGGAGAGGATATCAAAGCTAAGGGAGGTTTCATTACTAATTCAGTGTCGCACAGCTAGTCATGGGCAGAATCCAAAGTCGAACTCAGGAATGCCTTAACTTAAATCCCATACTTTCAACCACTGCACTCGATTGCAAACAAAACAGTTAATCCCAGGAAAAGAGGACAGTCTTTATTCTGCAGATAATGTAATGTAAATCTGTCTCCTCCTGCCCCACTCCCCCGTTGGCCATCAAATCATAGAGCAGAAAGCACAAATCCATATCATCATTGCTTCTGATTTCTTCTTTGAGATTCTGGATTTCCACTGCATTCACAGACACTTCCTTTCTTGGATAAAGCTAACCACCCACACAAGAGAACTGATGTTATAATGTGACAGCTGCTTTGGGGTTGTCCATAGCCAGAGATACACATTGTTTGTTTTTCAGTTGTAAAAGGATATTCTCCCCTAAGTTGCCTGAATCCAAACTGGCTAAACCACTTTTGTTCAAACTTTCCAAGCAATTTCATCCCTGGGGTGGAAACAGAGCATGAAATGATTTGGAGGAAGAGGACAATTTTTGGGTAATTATAAATGAGCGAAAACAGGAGGTTATAATGGAAGTTGTCTTTCAACCCTTAACTCCAGCATTTTGTAACCAAGAATTCTGTCTCTCAGATTTTGCTGGTGGAAATGTAATGCTGAGCAGTTGTCTGGAGCTGCTTCTAGATATTCAATAATTAGAAACAGCAACACTGACTCAGAAGCCTATCAGCTGGCTTGCAGAGTGCCACTTCACAAAAGAAAAAAGGAAAAAAAGTTGCAAACTTATAAAAGTAACAATTGAACACAAATCAATAGATACGGCATATACATTTTAACAGTGACTTGTACTTCTTTAAAAATTACCTTGTCAAATGTCTAATATAAAAAAGTCCTATATGAGGAATAAATTGGAAGAAAAGTTGAAAATTTTTCAGTGATGACGAGAAGGCAAAATCTCTTATTTGGGGCCGTGTGGTCAATGGAAGGAGACAGTGTGGTTTAGTAGTAATTCAGGTGACACATCTAGGAAGCTAATTTGTCTGCAAAAATGGCTTTTAGAATTTGGTCCAAGATGGGTTCAGTCATGTTCCAATTTCCTAGAAGAGATTTAAAAGCTGGAAAACACCCAGCTATTGTCCATGAGTTAGACACAGGCTTCCTGGAGACAGAGAAACACTTTTTGGAGTGTCCCTTTCTACTCAAATGATTTCTCAGGGCCTTCGTCTTTCCATCTTACAATGGGTGTGATAACACAGAACATATGGAGAGCGCACACACACACACACACACACACACACACACACAGAGAGAGAGAGAGAGAGAGAGAGAGAGAGAGAGAGAGAGAG